GAGGGGCGAGGCTGTGAGGGGCGAGGCTGTGAGGGGCGAGGCTGTGAAGGGTGTCGGCTTCCCTCTCCCTTTCCGAGCTCCCCAGCTGGGGATCTGGGGGACTGGTAGATACTCACAGGCCCTGGAGCCTCTGTCTTTGAAGTTGTTTAGGGCTCTGCCTCTGCCTTAGCTCTCCTATTTCTAGCCTGTTCTTGTACCTCTGCAGCTGACAGAACTAGGATGCCTTCTGGGGGTCTCTACTAAATCAAGTTCCTAGGATTCAGCTACTATGTACCAAACTGTCTTCCTGTGCCCAGCTCTCCCCAGACTCTCGATTATCTAGAGTTATGCTCACTAGGATGGGGGAGCTGAGGGATGACAAAAGCCTGTTTTCAGTAGCTCAGAAAGTAGTGTGAGGAGATGGATTTAGGCAAGGCCGACAGGCAAAGGAGGAAAAGGCCCAAGTCATGCATATGAAGAATTGGTTGAACATGATTAACTTCAAACTAGGAATGACTGACATTTTCCAGTGTTTTGGAGACAGAGATGATATTGACTCCAGCCTGCAGTTTTATTGCCCAGATTTCTCAGGGAGTTAATGTTTTGTGGTCCTCTGTGCCCTGGAGCTCCTGTAGTATGAATCAGGGTATTGTACTACCTTGATTCTGAAATAATGGATGATAGACAATACAGGCCTTCTTAAAATTCCTTCTAGGCCAGGGGAGGAAGAATGTAAGTTCTAGAAGGCATAGGATCAGTTTTTTCTAACACCAGGTGAAGAATTCCAGCAGTAGATCATCTGTCTATAGCTGACAGAATCTTAGCTCATAGCTTGGTTTAAAGGGTAATTAACAAACTATAGAAATGATCCCTGAAAGTAGAAGTGACTCCGCAGGAGACTGACACAGCTGCCAGCTCCCCTGCCTCCCCCTATGGTCGACCCCTAGACTTCCACGCCCTCCAGAAGGGTTCCTGGTATGCCTGGGTTTGCCCTCGTTTCTCTTGCTAGAGAGCTTGGCCTCTTGATCACCCCAACAAAAATTGGCTTTTTCCTAAACCAAGGCCGCCCTTGACATGACCACTAACATTGGGGAGCCTTCCTTTATGACAATATTACACTCCAAACTGACAAATGGTTGGTAACCTGAACATTTACAAGAGACTAGGATGGCTGTGAGTTAGCCCAATGACGGGATTATTGTAGGTCCACTTCCCAGGGGCCCACCCAATGCAGCCAAAAAGGAGTGCGTGGTGCTGGGAGTGGGTGCAGCTTACATGGCCTAAGACAGGGCTCTCACCCTCCTTTCACCCACCTCGGGGTCCCTTGACGTTGCCCATCGTCGACAGCCTAAAGCCTTCGACCATCGATGTGACTCGTCTCACATCAATGTTTTGGGGTTGTGAACTTGTCTAAGACCCCCCATAATTAGACATCCAAATTCAAAACTCAAATAGTTGGGATTGATTATAAGACGCCTTCTCTAACTAAACAGAGAAGGGGGAGATGCCAGAAGCCAGGACCCTCGCCCTTACCCTCACCCCCTACCTTTCCCCACCTGCACAATGTCCTCTGAAGCTTGGCAACTGCAAGATCCTGCTTGGCAACTGCAGATAGACTCAAAGCAGTGTACCATATCTTCTGAAGAATAGCAGGGAGACCATAACTCAAGCATTGTACCATATCTTCTGAAGAACAGCAGGTAGATCATAATTCAAGGCAGTGTACCGTATAGACCATGACATGATTCAAGGCACAGGCCAAGAAGATTCTGTACTTTTCCACCACCTGGCCCCTCTTACCCCCTTCCCTTGTAAAACATGCTATAAAAAAGCATTTCATGTTCAAAAAAATTAATTAAAAAAATAAAAAAATAAAGGGTAATTAAATATTTTAAAATTTCCATTAACTGTGGACTGTACACTTTGTACTACCTATATACCATGAGATAGAAATACAGACTGTGTAGAACACAGTCTTTATGCATTTGTGAGAATATTAACTTTTCTGGTTTACATAATGACAAGGATTTCTCCTTGTCATTTCAGTCATGCTTATCTGGTTTTAAGTTTTTGGAATAGTTATTTTTACTTGACTCACTTGTTTATGAGTCTGCCGACTTAATTTAATTTCTCAGCTCACAAAAATACTCAGTCACTGTCTCTACGTAAAGGTAATAGGTTTTCCTTATCCGTAATCATTACACCTAGTGATACATTGAGATACACTCGGAAAAGAGTTGAAGGCAACGTAGTGTTAGAGTTAGCATCTCAAGATATAGGCACTCCAGGGCACAGAGGACCAAAAAAGTCATTAATTCTCTGAGAAATCTGGGCAATAAAATGTCGGCTCCTTGCATCCAGCATGGGATGGTGAGTGTCGTCGGCCCAAAGAAACACACCTGCTGGGAGTTTTGTTGAGCAGGAACTCAACTTGAATGTAACCACCTCTTGTTTATATAAACTCAGAGCATAGGGAGGAGGGGTTTTGGAGGGGTGAGATGACGTAGGGGGTGGGGATGGGTGACGGAGGGAATGGGGTGACTGACAGGGCCAATGGCAAAGCTCTACATCAGCAACAGCTGAGCAGAGGCAGGGCTAAGCAGGTCCTATTGAGTCACTCCGGACGGAAGTGACTAAAACAGGTCTCAAACTTGAGCCTGGCTTGGGTTTGTCCTCAAGGCCCAAGCCAGGGCCAAAATGGGGCCCAACAGTAAACTAGCTTGGAGTCACTATTATCTCTGTCTCCAAACTACGGGAAAATGTCAGTTATTCCTAGATTAGGTTTTAGGTTTGTAATTTATACTAGTGTACTCACATACACCTAAAACCAACTCTTCCCATGTTAAAGAACACTCGTCTGAGATGATAGACTAGGAGCTATCGCGGGTCTGTTTTTACCTCTACACTAACCACAGTGGCAGATCGTCCAGTGTGACTAGTTTTGAGCTCTTGTGTATAGTAAAGGCTTGCAACTTTCAGGGAAAGCTTGGGCTATACATAGTAAATCTTAGTCAGCTTGAGGTTTTAGTGCAGGAGCAGCTTCCAGACTCCCACCTATTCCTATCAGGCAATAGTTACAGTTCCTGGAGAAACTTACATAGCTCTCAAGATAAGCTGACCAAAAAGGCCCCTGTCCCCCAGCACTGGGGGTGTTTACTCTGAAAAGTTGCCTGTGATCACAAGGTCGCACACAAAGGAAGATAGTGGCCATTGAGTTGCCAGCTTCCCTTCTGTTTTGCAAGCTCCTTTCCCTCACCTGAAGTGGCTCCCAGTGTGGTAAGAGATTGAGACACTTCCTTCCTTACCATTGATCACCCCCTCTTTTTCTCTATTTAGGGGCCTGACGTTAAAGATAACAATAGTAAGACTCTGGAGAGTAACTGCAGAGGAAAGTAGAGGACTGTGGGTAGTTCCTACAGAACTAAAGGAAGATAATCTATGAGAGGTCATGGGATGTATATATCAGTAAGGAGATGGAAACCTCTCTCTCTCTCTCTCTCTCTCTCTCTCTCTCTCTCTCTCTCTCTCTCTCTGTGTGTGTGTGTGTATACATATATGTTTGTGCGTATGCATGTGCACATGCTCCCTGGCCACAAAAGGAAATCCAGAGAAAGACAAGTTCAATAACTAAATAAAAAAAAATTTAGGGAGCTTAGGAGCAGATTTCAGAAAGCAGTAAAACAAAACAACAAAACAAAACCAAAACTGACAAGTAGAAGTTTCAGAAGGATAAGAAAGAT